ATGTCAAAGTAACGTGCGGCTTCCCTCCCCCACCCTGGTGGAGGCTTTTGTCGAGTCTGATCCGACTCAACAGTGCCGTCAAGCAGCCGCCGCGTCGACTGCTCTGAAGGTGTGTGGGCGACGGCAACGTCGTCTGTCTCAAAGCTAAGCTGGCGCTCCACAAGGATGGGACATGCAGCGCTCCCACCGTCCCCAACTTCACTGAATCTTCTTTTTCTGTTTATCGTAGAGCCGGTACTGCGACGGCACCGATTTTCTTGAATTGCGTGGGGTGTGGAGGCTAACACAATTGCAGTGGGCGCTGTTCGTGGCTCCTTCTCCCCTTCACTCGTTGTCCCTCGGCTGTCGTGTGTCATCGCGGCAGAATTGGAGTCTGCAGGGGTGGCATTGTGTTGATTCTCGTTCAGACGTTTTTCCAAGGAGTGCACTCTTATTGAAAAGTTTGGGAGAGAGTCTGCTGTGTGCTGCTTCCGCCTTGCCTCTTCCTCTTCCTCTTCCTGCTCCTTCCGCTTTCGTACTTGCCTCGCCGCTTCCTCCTCCTCCTCCTGTCCTTTTTTTTTTCCAGACGTCTTTCGCGGCTCTTGATCCGCGTGATCCTTTCAGGGGAGGCAACATAGTTATCGGCAAAGTACTTCCCGGCTTCCGGACCCCACCCCAATCCTCGACATGCCTGCGTGACTGCAGTTATTTCCGGGGAAGGCCCCTTTTCCGGCGCCTCTGTTCTCTCTTCCTTCTCCGTCGCGGACGGTGGCTCTTTCCTTGTGGTAACCCTTCCCTTCTTCCACCGCTTCTGCATTAGTTTATTGGGGCTTGCAACGTAGTTATCGGCGAAGTGCTTGTGTGCCTCTGGGCCCCAGCCAAGACCACGTCTTGTGCCCTTTCCCTTCCTCTCACCTGCCGCGCTGGTAGTCCCCTCTTCTTTGACTCTAGTTCCCTCTCCCGCCTCTTGCGTAGACCCCTTTACATTTTCTTCTTCATGCGTCTTTACAGCCGCAGGAACGGCGGCCGCAGAAGGAGTGGAAGACGTATGCTTGTTCAGCTTCCCTATATCGCCGGGCTTCTGCTCTTCTTGCGGCGGTTCTTCCGACGTGGAGCGCGCGTCGGCAGAGTAAGGCACATTGGCATCCATGCGGCTACCTGTATGAGTGCGCCTGGCTGTGATGCTATCCGTAGTGTCCGCCGTCGCGCGGGAGTCGTCCCCCGTCCCCGTCCCTGTCTCTACCCTCTCCCTCATATGCAGGCGCATGTACAACACCTCTTCCTTGATAAGCACGACTTGGTTGACAAGGTCTTGTGCGAATATCTCCGCCCTATTGGAGCCGCTCTTCACAAAAACCTCTGTCACCGAGATTTTCTCCCGCTGGATAACTTGCCTCCCGGCGCTGTAACGGGCAAGCAGTCGACGCATTGCGTCCTTTGCCAGGCGGCGCACTGTTGTGTCATCTGTAATCGGCACGCGAAAGGTCCCCTCCACCGCGTCAGCAAGGAGAAGTGAGACCGTGGCAAACTGCGGCTCGCCTGAGGGCATTAAGGGGCGGTGAGCTCAACGCCTGTAAGTGGGTTAACCAAAAATGGTCCTCTTCTCCCTCGCTCTACGTATTTACGAGTGAGGTACTCTCAAGGGGGCCGTAAGCTATGTGCCGCCCTGAGCGTTTATCTAGGGAACACCCTTTTATGTAGGTATTCTCCCCTAATGCGGGTTCAGCGACAGAAGAGGGCAACCGTGGGAGCAGAAGAGAAAAGACTTGACTCAAAGTCCCTCGTAGCTTTTTTTAAAAATTCGTTTTCTTTTTGCGACTCATTTTGTCAAAAGAAGAAGAGTAAGCAGCAGAAGAAAAAGAGAGAGGAGGGAAACACACACACACT